CTCTTGCCAGATTTGCCAAGGTCTTAAGTTGGAGGGATCCTCACTACTGCTCCTATTTACACATGGTAAACCTCTATTTTAGGTGCAAACTCACCATCCTGACTGGAGCTTGCTGAGGTCTTCTGTTTGGGTGAAGGATTCTGGAGTCTCACATTGATCCAGAATCATAATCTGCTGTAGTCCAGGGTTCTGGGAGAAGGGGTGGGAGCTGAAGATCAAAAGCAGTACTTGGTTCAGAAGGTGGAGATGGTCCCTGAAGGGCAGGCCCAGGGCATCACAGACTTTTGGGGCCAAGATGCCGAACTGCACTGGTGGTCCAGAGTGTTTCCTGTGGTCTGGGCTGAAGGCAATTACTTGTGTTTTAAGTTGATATTCTAAGAATAGTTCCAACCTGACTTCTCTTCACAGCCATCTAATATTTATTTTCTCTTACTTCACTGTACTGAAAATTCTCTAACAAGAAGAAAGTGGTTTTATAACCTGACCTTTGCAGAAAAACTATAAAATTATACATACTAAGCTAACATATAGATATGAAATGATTGAATTAAAATAATACTTCTATAATAATTTTCTATATAAAGCACTAGGTGTACATAAGACCTGTGAGATATCAATTGCAAGCATTTTAATTACATAGACAATTGAATTGGCTTGAGAACTTTAATGACTTAAACAATTGCAGACATTCATCTTTCCTGCCAGATCCAAACTTTTTGTGTGATATGCATCTTTTAACCAGAAAAAATGACCTCAAATGTCTTCCAGAAAAAGAATAATTTGGTTGTTGTAACCTAGGGCCTCTATTTTAAATGATGAAAATGACAAACATAGTACATCTTGACAAATGATGTTTTTTCTACCTTACTATACTGAGCACAATCATAAGTCGACCACTGCAGACTACCATTTGATTCTCTGAGTACCATCTGAGTTCTAAACCCATAAATGAGTTTCAGTTAGAAACTAGCAGATTTTTATGCCATATTACATTTTAATTTTCATGAACAATAATGTCAATTTTGAAGGTCTCTTGATTTCAAGATAGATTCCTAGATTTGATCTGTTGAAATTATTTACTTTATATTCATACAGAAAGATTTAGATTTAGGTCTTCCCACCTTTATCAAATATACATGGAGTGACTTTACATTCCGTGATATGAAAAAATGTTGTGCGCTGCAAAAATATATGCTGCATTTGAGTCGTTTATGTACTCTTAATAAAGTTCTAAGTGATCTAATTATAACAAAAACATGGTTTAAATTAGATAAGTTATTATTATAAATTATACTAAATACAATACCTGATGTTCTGTAATCATGATGTTGGAAAATATGTTATATTATGTGTGTGTGTGTGTGTTATATTTATTAGCAGGAACAAAGAAAGTGTGAAAAACATCAGGATGGGATGATTTTCATTCTTATCCATCATAAATTTTAGTCTCATACTTCACTGTTTAACACAAATTTTATCTTCCAGAAATACTTTAGTCAAAACTGAATAAAGTTCATGCTTCATGAACACCACAGGAATGATTTCAGAGGTACAGAGAGTCGTATAACATTCTGAGATAGATGCACTTAGCAGATGAGAGAAATGATGTGATAAAGGCATTAACTCAACAACAAGTTGTGTGTGATGCAGCATAAAACATCATCTTGGAATTTGATGAGCAAAAATATGAAATTAAATATAATAATGAATAAATCTGAGAGTCAGTCCATCTCACAAGCAGCTTCTGAATTTCTCAACAAAAGAAATGATAGATCCATTTATAAGCTTCTTTAGGAAGGCATAAAAAATTTCTTGAATCCACATATTTGATAGGTTAAGCCAATACAGTACAGAAAAAATTCATACAAAGTCATTTATTTAGTAAAAGATTTGATGTTTCATAGCCAAAAATAAATTACTATTTTTAATTCAGCAAAGTGACATTTCCAGAAAAATCATGTCTACAACAGAAAACATGAATGATCAGGGGAAGGCAGAATGATGAAAATTGTGTTTTATCAATTTAATTTTATACATATTCACAAATAAGTGTATAGTCATGTCACACGTAGAATACTATAAGAATTCTGTACACATATTTTTACATCCTTACATCTAGAATATTATCTATCACTCAGCCTTTTGTTCAGTGAAATTTGCTGCTGATTTTCTTAGGCACATGTGCAATGTCCAATGATTGGGTTTACCTGGCTCCACTGTTTGTGATACACTGGACAGGTGGCTCTGCTCACCTGTTTCTGCTCAGAACACTTGATCCATCTATTAGTGTTTTCAAACATCAGACTTGAATTTTCATGAATCACTGAATTGATGCAATGACTTAGTTATCATCTAGTTCTGATCTTTGGCGCTGTATAAATCAAGAGTTGGTAAACTGTGTATGACATATGGATGACCCGTGGCACACAGTTCAAATGTGGCCTGGGATTCATTTTTGTAAATAGTTTCATTGGAACACACGCATATCTATTCATTCTTGTATTCTCATTCATCCTTTATTGCTATATCAGAATCAAATGAAAATAACAAAAGCTATGACGCATGAAACTGGAAATATTTAGTATTGGGCCCTTTACAGAAAACATTTCTGATTTCTATATAATAAGCAGCAAATATTTTATTGGAATATCATAAGAAATAAAATAATTTTGTAGGTTAATATCCACAATAAATTTTTAAATTCTTCTGTCCACTGAGCCTATAAATAATGAATTTCAAATGATCATGACATGATAACAAAGAAAAATATAAGGAAATATTACCTTTTCTTCTTCAGAAAAGCTCTGGTCATTACCAGCAACTTTGTTGAACTTCAGGTTTCAAGTGCAGATTCTTCAGCTTTCCCGCGCAGACCCTTTGGGTTTCTGACATGGACTCATACTGAATTCTGCAGTGAACACCAGGCTTTACACCTCCAACTGGATCCACTGACCCTTCCACACACAGATGGCCATTTTGCATACTTCAATCCTTGACTTTAAAGGTAGCCATTCTAAGCCTATCTAAGAAAATCTTATAGCTATCTATCTATCTATCTATCTATCTAACTATTTGGTCTGTTCCTCTACTGAACTTCAGCTGATAAGAGTATGCATGTACTGCCAGGTGCTGATTAGATCATCAGATACCTTCCAGACAATCACAAGGAATAAAGAAAGACAAAGACAGTATTTAAAGTACAAAAGGACCAGGAGGAACCTACCTCTACTGGAGTGGCTCTACAATCTCCATGGCTGACTTATCTTATCGCCAAGCAATGGTGAAATTTTCAGTGAACAGTGATGGTAATAAATGGAGAACAAATGACCATGGTCTCATCCACACCCTTCTTCAGCTTGTCCTCATCAGATATTATCTCACCTTAGGAGCACTACAGTTGTGAACTTTCTCTGCAAAATCAGGAAGCAGGCAGCATCCCACATACTTCTCTGTTCCTAAGGCAGTCACAGGAGGCTCAGAGTCCCAGGACTCTAGTGACAGCCATGTATTCCTGTTTCTTAGCAGTAAAATATTTCTTGTTGCCTTGTCCCCAATGTGTAACACCATAGTGTTAATGTCCTTAATTCTTAGAATGTGCTCAAGTGGAATAGCTGGGTCAGATGGTACTTCTATGTTTCATCTTTTGAGAAATGCTCATTTTAATTTTTATAATGCCTTTACTAGCTTACACTTTTATAACAATATGTAAGAGTTTTTGTTTTCTTCATGTTCTTATGACCATTCATAATTTTATGTAATCTTTGTGGTAGCTATTATGTCAGGGGTCTATACAATCTTACTGTAGTTGCAATTTGCATTAAATTGCATGTTTTTACTAAATTTAGCTACTATAACTTATTTTGAAATGTACTTGTTCACTTTTATATTTGGCTTGTTGTTTTATATGGGTTAATTTAAATCCTTTTATGCCCTAAGTATTAATTCTTCACCTGAAAATAGATATCAATTTTTCTCCCATTCATTGGGCCTTTGTATCACTACATTGCTTTCTTTGATGTGCAAAAGTTTTAAAACTTCATGTATTTCCATTTGTCCATTCTTAATATTATTACCTGTGCATCTGGAGTCCTGTGCAGGAAGTCATTGATTGAACTGCAAGTGTTTTCTGTAAATTGTTTCCTGAGAGTGTCCATGTTTCTGACTTTATATCTAGGACTTTGGTCGAATTTTATTTTATCTGAGTACAGAAGTCTAGTTTCACTTTTCTGCATGTGAATATCCAGCTTTCCCAGCACCATTTGTTAAAGACACAAGATATGTTTTCATCCCTTTTGTCAAGAGTCCATTGGCTGTAGGTGATTGAATTTGTTTTTCAGTCTTTTATTATATTGGTCTACATTTCTGATTTTGTGCCAGTACCATGTTGCTATTGCTACTGTCTTACTAGAATACCTTGAATTCTGGTATAATGATGTCTTCAGTATTGTCCTTTTCATTCAGCATTGTCTATTCTTGATTTTGCTTATTCCAGATTAAGTGAATTTGAAAGTGTCATCATTGTAGTGCTTGCTCAGATCTTTCTTTTCAGGGAGGATGGAGATAAGATTTGTAGATGAACTTTTTAAGTGAGAGATGAGGCAGCACACAGCACCCTGGAAAGTTTCAGGAATGCAAGTCCTGTCACTTGTCCAGGAGACTCCAAGTTAGGCTATATTTCACCCTTACAGGAATCATCAAGGCTGAGGTGCTTCTCAGCCAACATATCTTCAAATACATGGATTGAACTTGGTGAGGCACCCCTTCTTGGAAATGTGGATCTTCTGGTGGCCAGAGAACTTTAAATTGGCTCTGCATAGAGCATCTATCACATATTCTTTGTATTTGGGCTGTACCAACAGTGTATAGAAAGACCTGTCCAATATGTCCAGTATGAACCCTTGTTGCTGGGTCTTAGGGCTTGATGAAAGCATCTTGTATGCCTGTATGGAGACTAGATTTGGAATGGTGGGAGGTCAGGTATACAACAACCCACTAGGAAACAGCATCTCCAAGACCCTTTAAGGCAGCCTGTACAAGCAACAGGCTGCATACACGCCTGAGGAAGTTGCTATTGGCAAACACTACATGCTGAGCACCCACCAGCAAGGTAATAGAGTTAGCTTCATTGATTGCAGCTGGGTCAGGTCTTTTTGAGGCTCATCTTTTGTCTCTTTTTTATGGAAGGAAGGTTGTGGGTGCCAGCTATCGTCCTCTAAAGAAATTATCTGTGGGTGAAGACAACCATCACTGTGAAAGTCACATGCTTTATTGAGGGCAGTTCCCACCCAGTAACTACGTAGACAACTGTTATTCATTACTACGAAGGGGAGAATCTGAGAAAACAAGTCAAATAACTTTCTACTGTAAGATTTGCCTTTCATCAATTGCATCAATGTACATCAATGCTCATAAAAATAAATCACTCCCCCAGACACAAGGATTTTCAAGAACTGAAGCTGTGGTAAAGGGGATAATTTGTCTCCTTGAGCAATGGAATTTAGATTAGACATTGTTTATTGGAAGGACAGAAATTTATCAGCTGTAGTATCCATACTAGATTGGTAAGTGGGAATTGATGCTGTTGTCCACACCTCTGTCTCCATGAATACTCTGTTCATTTATCGGGCCCCGAATGGAGAAGAAAGAATAACAGAGGATGGCTGATACCAGTATGACAAAGCATTACCTACTTGAGTATTAAGTACCTCTTGCATTATGAATACTTAGCAATGGGCATTAACATTCAATACAAAGATTTTTACCCTTTGTGTTCACATTTAAAAACCCATCTATATACCAATCAATTATGTGTTCTCTTCAATTATACAATTTTTTTCATAGGCCTCTGATGAAGTTATGAAGACATGTGTTCTTCTATTTTTATACTCTGGCTGTTCCTGAAATCAGCAATGAAATGCTGAGCTAAATGCTTTATCATCTTTGAATAGTCAATTAAATTTTGGTTCAATTATTGATTTTCCTTTCAAAGGAAACTGATGGAATTTACTACTAACACAAATAGATTATGTAATTCTTTTCTGTAAATGTGAATGTAATCATGATAAACAAGACAATAATGAAGTATCTTATTTTTCTTGATTATTAAAACCCATATTACCTGAATATAGTTGAAGAGCAAGTTTCACTTAAACAGTTGTGTTAGTAATTCTGATTCACCCATTGAGATTGAACAGTTAATATGAATTAGTATAGTATATACATTTGAAGAAAGCAGTGTCCCTGTTTAGAAATTATAAAATTTTGGATACAGTGCAATCCAACATTGTTTGAAATGATTATTTAGGTTAGATATTACAGTCTATAAAGTGAATAGTAGAATTGAAATGGGTTTAAGGTATCAGTTGTAGTTGATTTTACAGAAAAGGTGAGAGAGAATTTTAGAAAAAAATCAGATCTATATAATTCTGAGGTGGTGGCTCTGAATGAGTGAGGGATGGTAGACTATAAATTAACAGATGCAAATGTAATACATAATTTAGTTTGAAGAAAGTTATATGGTTTGGATTGCTTCCCAAAGAGGTCTATGTGTTACATGAGAACTTTAACTGGCCATGGGCGTTATAGAGTTCAGTAGTTTTTATACTGTAAACAAAATCTGTTACTTTTGTAGATTTAATACTTTCAGCTTACTTTCAATAGATATTATCTGTTTGGATTAGGCTATCACATTAAAAGAAGAGTCTTTAAAAACATAGAAAGGAAAATTTGGGTCTATAATAATTTAGAAACAACTCCACTGAAGGCAGATGGGTAGTGTCTGTAGCAATGTATTCAAAATAAGGGCTAAAAATATATTTTTGACCTTTAGCATTATTTTCTAATCAATCATATTTGCTCTCTGCTGCTATAGAATTTCAGAGCCTATCTAAAATAGTCTGTATGTAGAATAGGAGATTTTATAAGGATAAATATCAGAAACACCCACTAACCCATACATAAACTTATAGGCTATAATAGTTAACCACACTTTTAAAAATACAAGAACTATTTAACAATCAAATCAGTTTGATATGTATCTGCAAATGTATTTATTTCCAAGTCTATTTCTTCTGGACTTATATTTTGTCTGCAATTGAATATTTGTTTCATTGGCTTACAATTCTATTCAGCTTGAACATACTACTTTATAGTGTGATTGTTCTATTTACACTTTTAAATAGTGTTCTTTCATTTTCAATTTGGATGCAAGGGCGAAGGAAACTGCTATGTATGTAAGGATACATACGTAGCTGTATGGTCCAATAAAAATATTAGAAAAAAAAATAGGCAAAGTGTAGATATTTCCTGTAACTACAGTGCATGAGTCTGGTAAGGAAGACTATTAACAGGTGTTAGTATTCTCTTAACAGTGTTCTGTTTAGGACTAGGACCCTGAGATTTCCCCCCATTCATAGTTGGTAGAGCTTCAGTTTACTAGCCTTTACACTACTAGTTTTCCATATGAACAAAAGAGGTTTGTTTGCTTCTTTTCTTTTCATTTCTTAATTTTTTTTTGTACCAGAAATCAACCTGATGACCTCACACTTGCCAGGAAAGTGCTTATGCCTCTGAGCTAAATCCTGAGCCCTGAGATTTGTTTGTTTCTAATGTTTTCAACAGCAGTTACTTGCCCTCCAGTTCTCTTTTCTCTTTTCTGATTTCCTGCAAGGAGACTAAAAAATAAAAGCTGTGTATATAACCCAGAAAATGACTCCACAAATTCCACCTTTATTCAATCACTGCGTCTCTGGGACTCTATAAAAACATAGTGTACCCACAACCACACACTTGCAAGACAGGGACTTAAGCCACTATTTTCAAGAAGATAGTGTGTAATCTACTAGCAGGTAATTTCTTACTGTTATGTTTTTTTTTGTTTTGTTTTTTTTTGTTTTGTGGTTCTGTATTGCGTGTACCCTTACGCCGCTTTGGTTTGTTTTGTGTTTTTCTCTTTTTCCTCTTAAAAAAAAAAAAAAAAAAAAAAAAAAAACATAGTGTACATCCTAAGAACACACAAACCATATAACTACATAATAAAGTAAAAGGACAGCAGGTATTATATTTTGACACATAAACTACACTAGAAATCAATAACAAAATGAGTTTTAGAGGTAAAGTGAGAATTACACAATATAATTAGAAGAAAAATCTCAAAAGAAAGACACAAGAAGGAGGAAAAATAAGAAAAATGACAATAGTAAAAAGTATGCAGTTGTAATGGTGTGAACATCTCAAACTTAATGCAGAGGTTTACTTTTATGTTTCTAATTCGTATTCCCCATCTTTACCCCCAGAGTTCAACTCTTAGCTGGGACAGAATCATGGGGAAGAGAGAGTTGTACTATATCATTTAAAAATACATACAACAGAGTAATTGGATACAATTTGCAAAATCTGATCCTCACTTACTTGTACCAGACTCTTTGAATTTCAATTTTATCTTTTGTATACATGAATAGTAACACCTATTTTCAGATTACATATACAGTTGAAATAAATAAAAATATCTAAATTGCCTAATGTATTACTTGGCACATAAGACATATACATTGAAACATTGATTGCTAAGATGTGTAAATAGGTTTTGATAGAAAAACATGTTTTCTTCAATGACAAAACCCTGCAGTCATTAAATTATTTATAGAAATAGAAGCAGAGAGCTTACATCTAACTTCCTACTTCATACGGATTACTGATTCAAAGATCTTTTAAGTATGCAAACTAAAAAAAAAAAAAAAAATCTTATTCCCTAGCTCTCCATCCGTGCAGAGTGTTCTGTCTTTAATTGCCAGTCACAATCTAATATGGGTCAAGATTCTGACATTTAATGATAAATGACAGGGAAATTAGCTTCTAAAAATGACAAGTTAACAGATGAAGACTATATTTCTATGTTATTTACTGAGCTTTTAATAAAAAATAACTTCATGCATGTATATTATTGATAGCATTTCCAATAAAATGTGGCCTCAAGTTTCTAACAATTTATATGGCTATTCAAAGGTTTACAAACTTTAAATGAGTTAGAGTTCTTGCAAAAAATTATGAATCATTATAATGCTGAAATTTAACACCTGTTGTTCAACATTTAATTTCTTGAATACAATCAAGATGTAAGAGGGTTGGTTAGTCAATCATCTAGGTTTAGCTGACCTAATGCTTTTGAAAATTTCTGAAGTTATTATTCATTTTAAGAAGATGGCTGTGTTTATGTGTTAATATAATTATTTATTCTAGGACTATAGTGTTACGAAAGAAAGCAGTGTGTGTGTGTGTGTGTGTGTGTGTGTGTGTGTGTGTTTTGTGCAAATAATAGCTTTAAAAAGGAGATACTGGTCAATATGAAAAACAGCATCAAATACATATTAATCAAACTTTGTAACTTCCTCAAAAGTTTTTTGGTAGATACTATGTAATACAGCATCTGTAGTAAAAGTAAAATAAACTTTTGCTAACATTGTTTATTCATGCTTATTCTAGTAAAATTACATACGTTGTCAAATGACTTATGCACCATGGATTCCTCAGGACTCAAGTGAAGCTTTCAGAAAAATGCTTTCTTGACCCCCCCCCGAAACATTTTTTTTTTTAAATTCATTAACTTATCAGTAAAATACACTGAAAAAGAAGTAAGAGAAGGCAATTTTTACTTCATAAGAATTGGGACTAAGTAGATATATGAACTCAAATAATCCTTTCAATTATCAGCAATACATGGAGGTATTATCATCTTTAGTAATTGAAAATTAATTTTGAATGCATTTGAAATATTTGTCTATTTGGTGGTTTTCGGAAGATGTTTACATTTAATGATAGAAGGTCCTTTTATAAAATTAGATACATCTCAATGTTAAGCATTTGATTAAGTGACTAATTGGTAATTTGTATTGCACCTAATTATGACTCAGGAATTTCAAAATACACTGCATTCACTGAATTTGACTCTACTGTACACAACTCATGTGAGAGTAGCATGTGCAACACAATAAAAAAAGCCATGCACTGTAAGCTGTATGTTCAAGAAGTGATGCATAAAAATGCCCTAAGCGAAATGCATGGCATTTACATAAATGTCTGCAGCTTTAGTAACTGTATATATTCAACTCTCATTCTTTATCAGTTCATATTCTATGAC